AGGATTAATAGGCGTTAGGAAGTAAATAAGTACCCTGTATCTATGTGCTTATTATTTACGATATAAATCCAGTTACGATTAGGGTCATATTATTTATTTTGATTTAAATTAAACTAAGTAAAAGTAGTGAATATATGTTTGGTCTAAATATTTACTGATTGGACAAATACCTAAATAATTCTTAGTATATATATTGATTTCTTTGACACTACGGCGTGTCTCAGAAAATAGTTAATATCATACAGAATTCCTATGATGGATTAAAATTCAAAATAGTGCATGAAGAACAGTTTACAAACTCGTTCGAAAAAAAACGGTGTCAAGCAAGGTTTATTACTCTCACCCTTTCTCTTTCTCCTGGTGATCGACTGGATCATGAAGACGTCAACATCTGAAGGAAAGCACGGGATACAATGAACATCTAGGATGCAGTTGGACGATCAGGACTTTGCAGATGATCTGGCTCTTCTGTCGCAAACACATCAACAAATGCAGGAGAAGACGAACAGTGTAGCAGCAGCCTCAGCAGCACTAGGTCTCAATATACACAAACACAAAAGCAAGATTCTCCGATACAACACAGCATGCACCAATCCAATCACAACTGACGGAGAAGATTTGGAAGATGTAAAAGCTTTTACATATTTGGGCAGCATCATTGATGGACAGGGTGGATCTGATGCAGATGTGAAGGCGCGGATTGGCAAAGCAAGAGCAGCATATTTACAACTGAGGAACATCTGGAACTCAAAACAACTGTCAACAAACACCAAAGTCAGGATTTTCAATACAAATGTCAAGACAGTTCTACTGTATGGGGCGGAAATTTGGAGAACTACGAAAACCATCATCCGGAACATACATGTGTTTATTAACAGTTGTCTACGTAAAATACTTCGGATCCGTTGGCCGGACACTACTAGCAACCACCTACTGTGAGAGAGAACAAACCAAATCCCAGCGGAGGAAGGAATCAGGAGGAAGCTCTAGAAGTGGATAGGACACACATTGAGGAAAGCACCCAACTGCGTCAAAAGACAAACCCTCACATGGAATCCTCAAGGCCAATAAAGAGGAAGACCAAAGAACACAGTACGCCGGGAAATGGAAATAGACATGAGAAAAATGAACAAGAATTGAATAGAACCAGAAAAGAAGGCCCAGGACAGAGTGGGTTGGAGAATGCTGGTCTGCGACCAATGCTCCATCAGGAGCAACAGGCGGAGAGAATATATGTTGATAATTTAATTAAATAAATGATGAAACATCCAAATTTCAATAAATAAATAAATAATTAAATATGCACAATTACTTGTGTTATTAATATATAACATAAGATGTAGATTGCCTTTATAACCATAGGCTCTTACACCATTTGTTCAACCAGAATCCTGGAGCTCATGTGAAACATTGGTTTGGGATCGGGTTTTCCAGCTTCTAGGTGGATCCTCCATGTTCACCAACCCGGTTAAAGCGCAGGATATTCGGTTTAAATCCTCTTAATTTCGTAAACAACACCCTTATAGCGAGAATGCAGTCTGTAGGACTAGATATTATGTAAATTCATCATAGATCTACTATTTTGATATTCTGTAGCGTTTGTACATGATGCCTGTCTGATTTCGTTCGTTTGTGCTCACCTATATCTGTTTGTTTAGACTGCTCTATTTCGAGGATTCCTAGTTCGTATAATTCAACTACTAATTGTCACATTGGCGTTGCGTTTGAACATGTGGTGGGACAGTTGGAATTAATTTCAAATTTTGATGCTTTCTAGAATTATATGGAAAGGTTCAAAATCTACACTACAATCAAGTAAATGTTGAAAATGTTAATATTGTGGCCCGTTTCTTTACATTCATTTTAAAACAAGCCTAGAGCTTATTAAAAAACTTTCCCACGCAACTCTCAGGGAACTGCTACTAGACTATGCAAAGTGTAAAAATTTTGAGTGGTATAAAGGAAGAAAATTACATAAAATGATTCGTCAAGACATCAAGAATTCCACTATATTACTACGATATCCCAATCCAATGTGTATTCAAGGTTATGCAGATGAGCGCAAGCTTAGTAAATGTTTATCCTGTGACAAATTTCACTCATGTGATTCATGTGTATTTTGTAATGCTAAATCCTTTAAATTTGGTCAAAGTGAACACATACAGAGCGTTTGTAATACTATTGTTCATTTACTTTCAAATAATGCTAAACTTTGTAATTCTGATCCTATTAAGTTGAATGTTCAAAATGAATCATACTCTTATCAGATTCATTATATTATTTTCCCAGATGTGCATCGTTCCCATGATTCATGAATTTCCAATGAAATTATTTACTGATATGTGGAAGATATATGCAGTGCATCGAATCTTGATTAGAACTTTCATGTTATTGTACCAGATATGGTTTGTCCTGATGATTCACACATTTCTGCTGAGATTTATTATAAGTGTGAGGAAAATATTTTCAGTGAATCAAATTGTGATCAAAAATCTGATGCAGTTTTGATAGATGCTGATTTTTCAAATGATTAATTATTCTCCAATAAAATTCTTAACCAATTTGAGGAAAATATTTCAGAAAAATCAAATGTTGATGTCATATTAAATGTTATTTGTCCTCATAATGCGTCTGTTTCTTGTGGGAAACTTGTTCAATGCGAAGCACGAGTCCTAAATAAACTCAATTTCGATTACAATTCGGATGATTTCTCGTCAACTGTTCATTCTTATCATAAGGTTGCTTTCAATGAATACTCTAATAGATGTGAGAAATATATTTTAAATGAAACCACATCTAGAACTTGGGGATACAAAGATCCAACATTATTTCATGGGGGGGAAGGCAGTGTTGGAAAATCTATGGTTTGAATTCTAGATATCATTTATTTCAGTACACGACCAACATGTTAAACAGATACAATTCCAGAACCTAGGTGAGTCCGTTCCGATTTCAGTTGTTAATTCTAATACTAATAAGTATATTCTAGATCATACAGAGTGTACATACAATACACAGTCAGACAGACATATGATGAACCTAAAAAGGAGAGGTATAGTTGATTGTAGAAGTTTGGATTCTCTTTTAAACTGTGGCGAATGTGGACTTAGTATGAATTAATGATTCCTTTCTACTTGGTACCTGTCTAATTTTGAATTCCAAGTACAGTAAGTTCGTTTGCGCTCACCTATTTCTGTCTGCATGGACTGCGCTATTTCGAGGATTCCTAGTTCGTATAATAATTCAAATACTTGTAATTATCACATATTCTCAGTGTATTTAAGATTGATAAATCATATGAATACAGCGAAAAACTAAAATGGTAAAATTCTCACATCTTTTTTGTTGTCAGATCTGTTTAAAAAATACTAGAATTAATATTGTAGTGTGTGCTGCTTTGTACAGACAGGTGTAAGTAGTAGGTATCAAGTATCGGAAGTAGAATTCTTACTGACGGAAGAGGAATATGGGAAGATGAAAGAGAAAAAACAAAAGCAGTCCAAGTAGTAACAGGAATGGAAGGACAATGGAGCTTTTAAGAGACAATTCAAGAACAATATACAACTAGATGCATCGAATGGATTGTTTCCATATTTTGCTAATGCAGTGTGTGGTTTAGTACCCTAACTAAGCTTACCTTTATAACGATATCTTGGAATCCTACTTGAGAATACTGGTCTATAAATCCCAAATACAAATTTTATATTAAAATAATTGCTACATATACAAACTATTTTCCACACCAATCTATTCAGTTAATGCTAATTATTAGCTAATGTACTGATTGATAAAATTTCATTATAAAATTTCATTAAAAGTAATACTGTGGTGTGAGCTACTTTTATCGACATAAGTAGTATATAACGTTAGTTACAAGCTGAATGTCTGGCAACAGAGAGACAAGAGGATCAAACAGTAAAGAATGAAAACAAAACGCAATTTGTATGAAAATGCAAGAACAATGAAGTCTGAGTCATTTTGAGATAATTGATGGTCATTTTACAAATTGAGCATTTACTATATAGTTGTTAAATTTTTATTACCAAGTTCTGTAATTTTGCGTTAATTACATTCGATTGTCTTCAGTCACGTTCTTGTTCACTATAATACTAGATAAAAAGATTGTCTCAAACACAATTCAATAGTTTCGAAGATAAATAATTAATCAATGAAAACAGAAAGTCTATGAATTTCCAATAGTTAGTAGGTGGAGAAGATTTGTACCTCAGGTGGATGTTTTTGATGGAGTTTTGTTCTCTGAGCTGGATGGTTGGAAAAATGTGGAAATCTTGGATAGAGGAAATTCCAAAGACAGAGATTTTTTAATAACCTAGCCCTCAGCTCAATCAGCAATCGACAAGCACATTTAAATCGATCCAATTTATCAACCAATCAGGAAAATTGTGCACAAATATAGGAACAAAAATCAAACCAATGGGAGACACAACCAAAACAAAGGAGTAAACAATGAGAAATTTAATGTCAGTAAGAATCAATCAACGTCAAGGTGTACAGAACAAGCTATGAAACGCATATGGAGAAATTCAAACACTTCACTTCTGTCTGAAGTTTGTGCTGATGATGTCATTCAGAAGAACGATGAAAGCTCTACGACCAAACCATCTAGCTTAGAGAACAAAACTCCATCAAAAATTTCCAATAGTTATCTATTTTGAATGATTGACGTTTTAGTTACTATGTAACTTTCTCTATGTTATGTTTCTTTTTAAAAAAAAATTATTTTCAAACAAAATCTTACCTTCAATCTAAAGTCATCATTTTAATAAAGTTAATAAAAAGAAAACAATTAAATGATTAATGAATAAATGTACTTTAAACAAATAACACTTTAATAAATGTATTATCATATGATATTACATTCAATCAATTTGTATATTTATATTATACATAGTAATATTATAATGTTTACCTTTACACCTGATGTAACAATAATATAATTAATCACATATATATGTATATATATATACTCACATCATATTGTTCATTTACATTATATGATAATCATAATTGTTCAATATTATTATAATCACTATGTATAAATAATGTATACACATAGATTTTACAATTTACATTTTTTTTATAAACAAACAAACATTAATATTACTAAACATAATAATAGTAATAGTTTCATTCAATTAATATTTCTATCGTAATAATATTGGATAAGAAAACCATTACTATTATTATTATTATTATTATTATTACTGGATTCACTTGGTACTATTTACTTAAATCGTCCTACTGATGTTTAGAACTGTAATTGGTCAGTCTCATTATTACTATTATTATGAAATTCACTTGGTACTATTTACTTGAATCGTCCTACTGATATTAAGAACTGTAATTGATCAGTCTCATTACTATTATTATTATTAGTAGTAGTACAATGATTATGTTTCTTATTTAAATATCATAAATCTATTTACAATTTAATTCATTATCATGAAAAAAATCAATAATCATGAATCTAATCAATTTATTGATGATAAAACACGTCAATTATTAATTTTTCATTGTCATTTAAAATTAATTAAACAAATATTTATTAAAAATAATGAAACATTTAATGAAACTTATGCAAATTATTTATTAAATAAATATTTAAATAAACATAGAAAATCAAAATGTATCGCCTATTTTCTTATTGATCGTATACGTTTTAAACAATATAAAAATATAATTTATATAAAACCATTTCGTAAAGAAATTATTTATCGTGAAATTAAACATTTTTTTATATTTCCTAATTATCCACAATTATTTATGTTATGTATTATGAATGAAAATAATTATAATAAAAAATCATATGAATTATATCAATGTATAAATTATAATGATGTTAGTATTGTATGCCATTTAACATATAAAGCATCTATACATTTATATCATACATTACATGATCCAATCATATTCAATCATTTCATACATAATAATAATAATAATAATAATAATAATAATAATAATCATTATCATCCAAAACATCAATTCAATTATTCAACATTCAATAATTTATTGAATCAAACAAATAATCATTTGAATATTATAAAATCATCTAAACAAATTGATTATCCTATTGTAAAGAATAAATTAAATTCTAATTTAATTATTCATAATTCCAATGATTATTTTATAAATAATAATAATAATGATAATAATAATAATTATTATTTAATTAAAAAAGGATCAATAAAAAGTACATCAAATTTAGTATATTCTAATGATGTACAATTATATCAACCAAAATTTTATTCCTTATATAATTTATATTCAAATAAACGAGAATATAATAATCCAGAGATGAATATAACAAAAAATCATGTATATAGGGATAATTCTGCAAACAAACTGTTCCCTATCCCTTACAATAATAATAGTAATAATGAAGAAGAAAAAGAAAAACATATTTATATCAGAGATAATAAATTAGTCAAACAAAAGACATTCAATGTAACGTCTTCACCATCACTATCATCATTGCCAACATTTAATGATGATTATGATTTTGACAAATATATACATACAAAACAAGATATATTTAATACAAATTATCATATAAATTCCAAATTTGATGATACTAAAAGAAATTCAATTGATTTTAATCAACATTTAAGTCAATCATTAGATTGTAAACATGATGTTAGAATGTTAAAAACATTTACAATACCTACAGGAAATAAAGATTATTGTCGTAAAAATCATTTAAATATTTATCATGACAATGTGAATGTGAAAATGAATGATTATGGTTTTTACAATGATTATGATGATGGTAATCAATTAGAAAATCAACTCAGGAAGTGTAAATCTAATATTGATATAAGATCAGCTGATACAACTTATTTATGTTATGATCCAGTTGTTGGTATACGTATAAATAATAAGGGCCCAATATATATGTATATGGCACGTTATAATTCTACTGTAATATCATGAAGTCATGATTATTGTGTAGATTTGAAAACTTATTGAACAATATACTACTTATAATCTGTTTTGCATAATTCAGTTTTGTCATAGAATTAATGTACATATACATTCTCTAGAACTTTCATACATGTTTATCTTTCTCTGCTTTGTATAAGAATGAATCAAATCAGAAATGTAATGACTTTTTTTGTTTGATGATTGAAAAATATATGAAGCTTGAGGATTTCGTTACCTATCTATCGTATTTTTTCAAAGGTAACTATTCAATCTGAATGTACAAATGATTGTCTAACTTTAATATAAAATTATTACAGTGTTGTAATATTTCATAATTTTAATAATTCACAATTATAGTTAATGTCCCTGATGTATAAAATTAATGTATATTATTGCTACGATGTCATAGAATTAATGGTGAAGTGTGAGAATCAAAATGTTCATGTTTCAAGGTTTATGGTAATATATTCTAGGTTTCTATCGTCAACGATTGTTCATAAAACAACATTTAATACTTTTATCTCTGAATATGTTCATTTGACAAATACACTTGTAAAAATATTTTTAAAGATGGTAGCTTTGAAAAAAATTCGACTACTTAATTTACTACTTGCATGCCTTAAATTAACATTCACAGAACAACTATTGATTAAAAATGATTATTTATAACTGGCTATAACGTGCTCTGATAGTCTGAATGAACACTGTGAATATTAAAATTTAATAAATTTCTCTACATTTCCTATATATCTTTCCTTCATATGTAATCTGAGAACGTAATCAGTCAACCTCATTAATATTTGACTTACATGCAATAATATACTCAAAAAATGATCTCACTTTATGTAACCAATGTTACCTAAGTAATTACCAAACTCACTTAATGACAGTTGATAATACGGAACTGGAGTTGGAAATTAGGACTAAACAGTTTTCTAATAATTAAGGATGAATTTTAGCATAAATGAAAATGATATTTAGTGGCCCAACATCTGACTTCAAGTAGATCGTATGTTGATCGCTAATGAAATATACATCCTGGCTACCATCGTATATAATCATCGACTTTAATCGCGTTGGTGAATAACGGAATTAAATAAGTCAAATATGAGAATGAAGTTTTGAATATGTAAATATTGTACAATCGTTGATTGTAAAGCGGAGTAAAACAAAATGACGCGCATTGTAGATGGTGGGTGAACCAACTCAATTTAACCAAGCGTTAATCGATATTTATAGTCAGACAAAAATAAGTTACAAACATGTGATGAATAAGATAAGAAATGCACACACAAATACGCTTACACAAACTTAGTCAAGGTTGATAAACGAAGAATTAACAACGTCAAAATATGACTCAACAAGAAGAATGGATAAATTGATCTGTCCAGATGATAGAATAACCAATGTGGGCTAGATATGGTATCATCCCCTGTAACTGAGTTAATTGATCCATCATATTGAGTTGAATAAGATTAAAGTTTTCAGTTATATTGACAATTTATCCAAATTCTAAAGTATTAATAATAATGGAGATACTATGCAAGGAATATATGATTATTCCAACATATTACAACCCAAGCAATTTAATTCTCTCTCATAAAGAAAATGTTACATAACACGAGATTTTTATGTGATAACACGTTTAGATAAATTTATGAACACTAATCATCTTTGGGATTTAAGTAATATATTTTACCAATCTATTTAGTTCTGTTGCTATCTTGGAGACATTAATTTCTTTGAAAAGAGAATAAAAAATATCAATCTATGGAAAATCAATAACTCAGTGTTGTTTACATACTATATGTCATACCTAATAGTAAATTATCAATTGGTTATCACATTTTATGATCCATAATTGGTAAAGAGAAAAATGTAATATCAATTAAATTAAATTACCTTAACATTAAAATAACAATAATGACTAAGCCAATTTTCACAGCTTACATTGTAACTAATTGATTACATTATGTAGAAACATGATTTAACATGACAGTCTACACTTGTACAATAGTTTGATATGTAACGCATGAAATTCTGTATTGTAAAATTCAATAAAGACTTTACCAAGTTGATTTGTAAAGTGATAATGGAGTGACCAGTGGAGTTCAAGAGGGTCTGTTGTGAGGTAGTAACTTACTGATGACAACGGTGAATGTGTCGCTCAATTTCGTGGATTAGTTGAAGTTAGACATTAACACCCTTGGATGCCGGCCGGCTCAGTGGTCTAGTTGGTTAAGCGTCTAGCGCGAGACTGATAGGTCCTGGGTTCGAATCCTGTGGGACGGAGTAGTGGATGCGCACTGCTGAGGAGTCCAACAATGGGACGAAACGGGCGTCTAGTGCTTCCAGGTTTTCCATGGTTGTCTAGCTTCAATCGACTCATGATCGCAACTGTTTAAATTACTACAATCTCCACAAAACCCCTTCTGGTAATCGTTAGTTGTTATCTAGTTTTTGTCAGTTAGTATTTTTTAATTGATTCGAGATTATGGAAAGTGAATAAAGATAGTGAATGTGTTTGGTTAAACTGATGCCGTTCAATGAGTTTGTAGGTATCATTACCAAGGTTTGGTTTGATAATTTCAAATAAATTGAGCATTGGGTAGATTGTTATAAATAAATAATATATTAATATCCCAATGAGTAGAAAAATGAGATTTTCTACCCATTGAAATATCACAAATATAGTATTTATTCATGACGCCGTTTAAGTTTGTTTTACATGTCTGATGGTATCTATCATTCATCATTGGAGCAGGATTATAACTGGTTTTATACAGACTATCTTCAAAACGCTAACGATCTCATTTAGCTCAGTACAGCTCACAGCAACAAATTCAAATTATTGCAGCATCTATTGGAGACGAAAGAAGCAGTATAGAGAGCAACTGCAAGGGGATTAAAAAGGGATGGATTCATCATGTCAGAAAGTTCTGGGTTACAAAAGCCACCTACATGGAAATCATATTTCAGTAAATAACATTGGCGAGATTCGAGAGAGAAAGCCCAAGAAGACAACAGATATCAGAAGTCGAAAAAATGTGTATAAAGAAGCAAACAAATGAGTGAAGAAAAACCTTAAAACTGATGAGTGGAAATGTACAGAAAATCTGTGGACTATGACAGAAAAAGCTGTGAGAAGAGAAAATATGAGAGGACATCATGATACAACAAAAAAGTCGACAGTAAAATACAGAAGACCAGAGAGGCAATTCCAGGATAATAAAAGCTTTACAATCAATGAAATCCAACAACACAACAATAAATGTGGAATACAATTCGAAGAGCTCTTCAATACACTAGACACACTGAATACATCAAACATTGAAGCAACACATACAGATCTCCCTATAGATTCTGCTGCATCAATAATCATATAAATCAGCAAGACCATCACAGAAATTGAAAGGGATGATGGAACAGGACAAGCTGGAAGCTGACAGAAAAGTCATAATTTTCAACATCGACTTTGAGGTAGTTCTGTTGTGTGTACCTGATAAATTGAAGATTTCTACAACAATCATTAAAAGCCTACAGAGATTTTAAACGTTAGTCAACCTAACATACTCCATATCCGTCAACCGGATACCATCACCAACAACCATCTATGAGCGAGAATATACCAGCTTATAGCTAGAAAAGTAATTAGGAAAAGATGTTGGAGTTGTTTAGGATACATATTGCATAAAACATCAAACCGAATCACGAGGTAGCCTTATCTCGGAATCTCTAAGGCATAAGCAGAAGAGTAAGATCAAAGAACACTGGTAATTGGAGGCAGACATCAAAAAATGAATAACAACTTAAAATAGGGCGCAGAAAAGAGTTCGTTAGAGATTCCTGATCATCGGATTATACCCCATGAAGAGCAATAGGTTTAAATAAGTAAGTATGCCTAAGGGACAGACTAAACGATTCATGATCACCACACCATGTTTTGCTGTACAATCAATCGATTAAATGCTTGATAACTTTGGTTCATGCCGTTCGATAACCTTTTCATCAACCAAATCCTCTTTTCACACATGGAAAACTTGGTTTCCCAGACTCCTGAAAAAAACATTATGCAGCTTAACATGAGAATTATGATAGCTCAATTCACTTTATTTGTATTTGTATTAAGAAGAGAGTACTTCTTTGAGTTGGTATTATAAAAAATTAGTCATCCTCACATTTCTCTCAATACGATGGATAAAGCACGTGGTGATTGAATAGAAATCGAGGTTTGATAAATAAAATTTTGTTCAAACAAATTAACTAGCAATGAAGAGGTAATTAATCTGATACATTTGATTATGATTTATTACTTTTAAATGCCAATCTACTTTGTGAAATAAAACTGGTCTAGTTCGTCATTTCAGCAAATAAATTAAATATACAATGGCTTGCGAATCGTCACTTCATTACATAGTAATGAATTCTTTTCTATATTTGCATAAGATTTGCAAATATTCAGTGTAAATAAAACGTTAGTGTTTAGCAAGTGGTATAAAGAAACAGAATGTGAAATTCATTAACCAATTGATATTTATTTAACACACCTAACTGTATTTTTTAACGTTATCTGTATATGTATGGTAAAGTTTCTTATTGAGAGGAAGTAAACGAGATGCACCATGATGAATAAACATTTGTTGGAACTAAGTGATAGTGATGTTATTGATGGTATGAATTTCACATAATTCAGAGAAAGAGTTTTAGTTAATGTAATCAATACTGAAAAAATCAATGATTTCCAAAGGTGCATCCTGCTAAGAGTGTACAGGTAAAAGAAAAAAAATGAATAAATTATAGTTTTTTTCATCCAGTAAAAGGTTGGGAGTATAGCAAATTCATAAATTCTTCCGTTGAAGCTTTGAGTTCAAGTATATTTGAACCTGATTAAATAGGGTTAAGGGGATGACAGCTTTCCTCAGGTCCGACCAACAGTTGACAGCATTATTCTCACGAGACCAAATGTAGACAACATATGGTTTTTAACTTCTCGAAGCTCATTATGATAG